TGGGACTCAGACACACCCAGCCTGACATCAGCGTGGAGAGGGGCCTTCGGGGGACATCCGCGTCTCTGTTCCCTCACAGCCGCGGCCGAGGTCCCAGAGGAACCTCGTTCTGCAGTGCCAGCGTGGCTGCAATTTCACTGGCACTTTCCTCACCTCGGCCCACCCCCCAGAGCACACTGGGGGGCTGCCTGATGTCCCCCCGAATCATGGTGTCGACCACCGGGGGGTGTGGCGACGTGCTCTCTGGGCTGCCGGCAGACCTCAGCCTCCAGGTGCCCGAGCGCTTGAGGACTGTCCTCTGGGTTACACGCACTGGCCTTCAAAAGAGAGCACAATGTGTGACAGGAAACAGTGATTTTCTTTGAAGATCTTATTTGTTCATTTGACAGGGAGAGAGCGAGAGCACAAGCAGGGGGAGCAGCAGACCCCACCGAGCAGGGAGCCCCGTGTGGGGCTGGATCCCACAACCCCGAGATCGTGACCTGAGCCGAAGGCAGATGCTTCACCAGCTGAGGCCTCCGGGCACTCCAGAAACAGTGATTTTAACGGGGCGAGAGCAGACAATTCTATTCTTAGACAAGTAACTCATTCTTGGTCTCGGTTCTGAGAACGGAAACCTTCCCCATTCTTGTATTCAAACAAGTGACTCCGTCTACTTGGCGGCTCTCCCTCCTGCTTGTGGGGCGCGGCGACCGAGACCCCCCCGGGGTCCCGAGACCAACCTCCAGAGGGTAACCAGCTCCCGTCCGCTGGGATGGAGCCACCTTAGGGACGTATCCAGCGGGGGCTGAAAGGACAGGGCACGGTCAGCACCAAAGCGGACAGCCAGACACGCCGGCCCCTCTCGTGTTTGAGCCGGTAGAAAATACCACGATCTTCTGGAGTCACCGGTCTGCTTTGAGGGTCAGAGACACCACCCTCTGTGGCATCCGGCCAAACACTGGACTGTCGTTACCTCTGCCTGCCCCTGAGAGGGTCTGAGGTCATTCGTCTCCTCAGCTCACACGCCCCAGAAGAGGGAAGCTCGCCGCCAGGAAGATCCCGATGCCGGAACTTCGGCAGCTGGAGGAGCAGGGGGCGGCGGCGTGGCAGGTGTCCGCAGGCCCGGGAGAGCCACAGCGGGGCTGCAGCAGTGGGCCTTCTCTTGGGCGGACCCTAAGACCCCCCATTCGCCAACTGTTGCCCCTGCCCCTCGGGCGCACGGGGGGTTAGAATCCAGTGAACACTTAGGTTTTCGAGGCTGCTGCATAAGGCAAATGGTTTTAAAATTAATGCCCAAACCACAAAATGACCTGAAACCCACAAAAGCAAAACGTGGATATGTCAGTAAATTAATGTCATAAAAATTGAGTTACATGCGAGCGTGCCTTGTACACAGAATAAATCTTTAAGTGTGATCAAGCCAAATTCAGCAGGAACTGAATAATAACAGGGACAACACTCCACGACCGAGCCGAGGGGGGTCTATCTCAGGACCACAAGCTTGGTCGAGCCGTCGGAACCAGTGGGATTCCCGTGAGCAGAACAGACGATAAACAACGTGATCACTTGAACAGATGCAGAAAGACCACGTCACGGAACTGCACCCCCACGCCCAGTGATGTGGACCCAGGTAAGTGCCTCGGGGCTCCCTGCTGCCCTCCGCCCTGCCAGCGTGGGGACTGAGCGGGCAGTATGGTTTCTGCAAGATTAAATGCTTAAAACAAGAAAAAAAATCTGTATTTCTCAGAAAAATATACGGTCTCTACGGGGTACCATTTGTGATCCCTAGGACACAACCAGAAAGTGCTGGACACACAGACGTATGAATGGGACTCCTACTCAGAATAAAAGAAAAACACAGTAGGATCACAGAGGATGTCAGCATGTGCACTATCAATATGGGCAAGGATGTAAGAAAAAAATGCTCAAATGAGCAAATAAGGTTTGCTAAGAATCAGAAACTAGCTTTAGAACAAATACATATGAAACAGAAAAGACAGTTACAGGCTTTAACGCAGAATGGGCAGTGAAAGGTCATTAGTAGCAACAGTCAGTGATACATTAAAATTACCTGTCAAAAAAAAAAAGGAAAAACTAAAAACTATATGAACAGGCCTAATGACCAGTGAGTGGGACACCAGAAGAGCTGTTTCAGATGTGTACCTGATTCCGAAAAGTAGAGACAACAGAATTATTTGAGGAAACAATGGCTGAAACCTTCACAAATTTGATGAAAGCCATAAATTTACCAATTCAAGAAGTTCAATAAGCCCCATGCATGGTAAATTTAAAAAGCGCGCTGTAGAAATACTGTTCCCAAGGACGAAATCAGAGAGGGGACAAACCGGAAGAGACCCTTAGCCACAGGAAACAGACTGAGGGTGGCTGGAGGGCCAGGGCTGGGGGGCTGGGGGCACTGGGTGACGGGCACTGAGGAGGACACGGGATGCGACGAGCACCGGGTGTTGTGAGCAACCGACGCGTCCCTGACCTCCGTCCCTGAAACTAACAGTTCACTCTGTGTTAATTTAAAAAAAAAAAAAAAAAAAAAAAAAAAAAGAGGGGTGTGACTGGGTGGCTCAGTGGGTTAAGCCTTTGCCTTCGGCTCAGGTCATGATCTCGGGGTCCTGGGATCGAGCCCTGTGTCGGCCTCTCTGCTCAGCAGGGAACCTGCTTCCCCCCCTCTCTCCGCCTGCCTCTCTGCCTACTTGTGATCTCTGTCAAATAAATAAATAAATAATCTTTATTATTAAAAAAAAAAAAAGAGTGCCCAGATGCTGACCTTGTGAGACGAGGACGCTTAGAGGCACGCCAGGATCAGGGCCGCCCAAGGTGTGAGCAGTGCGTGAGGGCCACACAGACCAGCCCCTCTTGCAGGAGTGCAGAGCCCGTGAACAGTGCCCAGCGAGAAGTGCTGCTCTTCCTGCCCACGAGCGGACACCAGAGACGACGAATATTCAAGACACAGACGCAGCATCAAACTGAAATAAACACCAAGCAGAAGAGAGGGCGGGTGGGAGCAGTTACGGGAAACGTCCCTCGGAACAACAGACAAAACACACCAACAGAGAAACACGAAGGCCTGAGTCAGCCGTCTACAGGCGACACGCACGTGGCCACGGAGGCGTTCCGAACGTTCCACCCGCCCAGAACGGAGACCTGTCCTCTCCACCAACGATGACAGCAGCTGTGCTCGGAGCCCAGTCCTGGTGAGGCTGAGGCGGCCGGTGCTGGGCAGGGACACCGACAGAATCACGGCAGGGAGGGCGGCACATGTATTTGACAAGTGTGCAAACATGTGCACAAGGATTACTGTTTCCTAAAGGTCTGTAATACCAAAAAAAACACAAATTAGCACCTCTGGGCAACTGAAGTGTGGCCCGACCCGTCCGCGAGCTTTCTAGCTGAGGCGCGGCTGCTGCAAATGAGCTGCCGCATCCCAGAGGCAGAGGCTTTCCAGGAGTGGCAGCTCGGGGCAGTTTCACTCCAACGGGACTCTCCCATCTGTTCTCTCCTACTTTACAGCTTTGTGAACTTCGGCTGTAAGCATCCTCTGATCCATTTCGAGGATCGAAATTTTGGTCCAAGTTCCCAAAGTGGTGTCGTCACGCCGATGTCTGTTACAGAAAGAACGAAGGGAGGTCAGGGGCCCATCTCACGAAGCCGTCTCTGGCATCTACAAGTTTGGTAAAGACGTGTGGTCCCGAGAGGGCCAGAGGGCCGGTGGCGTCCAGCGGCAGAGCAGGCGGCGGACTCCTGGTACTCCGCTGTCACCGGCAGCCCGAGCGGGGCCGAGGGCTTCTGAGGACACACCCTGACTAGCGGGACAGCCCATCCTGGAGGGTGACGAGGCTGCAGGGTGCTCCGGCGACTGCGCCTGCCTCCGCGGCGTGGAAGGAAGGAAAGGTACGAAGGGCCGGAGGAAGACCCCCGTCTGCGAGAGGATGGAAAGGACAGCCTAGCGAGCAGCGCCACCCAGGCAGTGACTGAACGTTGACACGGACACCTGCTGCCCAGCCCAGCCCCCAAGTGGGGGACCGTGGAGGGAGAACTTGTCTGTGTCCCCCTGATGCCCATGCTCGGGGCCAGCAGGACTCAGCCACACGAGACGGAAGGCGGCGGCCCCGGCTCCCAGCAACCCCTCTCTCTACACAGAGCTTCGAATCGACGGTTATCAGTTTGGAGAACACTTTTGGCTCTGCTCTATGTGAGCCTTCAGAAGGTTCACCGGGCAGCGCCCCTGTGCTGGGGACACTGCTCCTCCCCACACCTCCCTAGACGGGTGACTCAAGGTCACAAGCACGGGCCTGGGTGGGTGCATGGTGTCTGACCGCCTCAGCCTTCCAGGCCCTGGACTCTCTCCGTGGGGCCTGTCCCGGAGGACAAGTGGGGCCTTCACCATCCCGAGGGAAAACTCGCAGGGCATACACCGGGGCTCCTTGCAGGTGGCCCGGGATGTCCTAATTTTGTGAAGGATGCAAGGTCATGCCCGACGTGGTGGAGCCAGGACCATGCTCTCACACTGGACTCTCCTAGGGCGTGCTAGAACATTCTGGGTGTTCCAGATGGCGCCTCTCTGATGTCCCCCCCCACCCCCACCCCCCGCCGCCAGCACCGCAGCCGTCTCCACGCACAGGGTCACGGCTGTGGTTTCTCACACAACGTGCTTCCTGGTTTCCTGCACAGCTGGACACGCCAGAGGGACTCTACTGGGGGAAACGTGACCTAGTAACGGTATGAATGTGAAGGACCCTCCGAGCCTCTACGCACGGTTGGGGCTGACGTGTCCGAGGGGTCATCCCAACACGGACTGGGTGCCGCCCCAGAGGGAGTCCCATGTGCCACTGCGACAGCGGGCACAGCTTGCCCCCCAGACCGTACACGGTGCCACTGAACGTGACGCTCTTCACCGCCCCCCGCTCACAGGCGGGAACACCGACGCCGGAAGAGGTCGGCAGATTTGAAAACTAGGGTTTGGTTCTATAACATACAATTCTTTTCCCCTGACGGACACAGAGTACAACAAAATTAGTCACTTTTATTTTAAAAGAAACATTACAAATAAGTGCAAAATTAAACTTCATGATTAAATACACACAGAAGTACACGCATGCTGTACAGTGAAACCCACAGTTAGCGGATTACGCGACAGTAAGAGAACCGGCAGGACGCGGCGCTGCCGCCGCAGACTTGCAATGTTTGCGAACCTGAAATCAAAACCGCACAACTGGGTTTCCTTAGAGGGGATTTGAGAAAATGACACACATACCTCTGGGGGTACTAACAATATAGAGCCCATAACCTGTTTAGTCACCACGTGTTAGAAAACTTTACCGTGCCTCTCCTCGGAGCGCCAGCAGAAACGACTCGGACCGACGGCGGGGCCGTGCCCGGCTGGGCCTCCCGCTCCTGCCCAGACGTCAGGCCTGCGCTGCCGCAATGCCCAGCCTTTCCCTCCACATCCTCTAAATTAAGTGACGCTTTCCTCGGGGACTGATCCTGACGGTCTACGTTGTTCCTCTGCTCCCTGCACACAACGGGGAAACTCGGGTGGCCCGCGGGGCCCACAAAGCAGTTTGCTCGCTGCAGGCGCCCAGCCTGGGCCTCAATGCCGACGGCTCCAACAGACAGACGGGGACGGGCGCACCACAGGCTCACGACAGGCACGGACAAGACCAGGACGCCGGCTTGCGGGGAGACGCCCACCCTGTGCGAACGTGGCTGGCTCTCCTCGCTTCATCTTGAGAGGAGAGAAGGAATTCCTTTCTCCTTTTCTAAGGCAAGCTGCTGGTATTATTGTTCTATTTTAAAATCTGGTGGTAACGTAAGAACTCACAGGGACACGTTTGTTCATTTTCCCATTACAGACTCAGTAAAAATGATGGAACCTGTTGCCAAAACAAATTTCCATTTGTCCATCCTTTTGTCAACCCAGTCCCTACGTGTGCACGGAGCCCCCAAGCGCACGGGGGGCAGAGGCGGGAGGGCGCGGCGGAAGCACGGAAGCTAGCATCACAGCTCAACTACGGGTCGCAGGCCAGCAGTCGGGCCCGGGCAGCTCAGAGCCACTGAGTGTCTACACTGCCTTGATGATGATTCGTTCTTTAATACTGGAAATGGGAAGCCCTGCTCAGGAAAAGAGACAACCACAGAATGGCTTCAGGACCAAGGGCCCGGGGCAGTCCTCTGGCCGCTGACCCATGAGGCCCAAGGGCCCCGGCACCAGCCCCAGGGTCTGAAGGGCACACTCGGTGCTCCGGAGCGGCCGGCCGTGCTGGTTGCACTCCCAGCGGAGTCACAGCTTGTCATCGGTCATTTCTAGAAACTGCGCGTAGACGTCCCGGATGCACTCCCCCTTGGGGTTGAAGAGGAATTTGTAGTAGCTGCCGTCTGCACAAATCGCTGAGACAGAAGGAGACCGTTTTACTCAGCGGCTTCTGCCCTCAACGTTAACAAGCAGACCTCCCTGAGCTCAACTCTAAATGGCCTTGCTCTGGGCAGCAACGCAGAGTGAATGTGGGGAACAAGGGACCCCCCCACTCCTGACTGAGCACACGTGTGGCCAGGAACCCCGGCTGCTCTGGGGTGGTGCCTGCCTTCGACTCAGGTATGGAGGGATCTGGTCATCAGTTCAAACACCACATGACCTGCCCCCCCCACACAACTTCCTAGGAAACCCCAGAGGGCGGGAAGGGGGCTGCTGTCACCCCACATGACTGCGCCCCCAGGAGAGTGAGCACGGGGCGGCCAGCACAAGGACCACTTACCGATGACAGCATTTGGCTCTGTTCCAAAGGCACAGATGCACGGAGAGCCTGAGGGAACCTGAAACTTGGAAAAACTCCACTTGGAACTGAAGTACTTTGGAAGGAAACTGGCTGAGGCCAGACTAGGAGGGCAAGGGGGGAGAGAAAAGGCAGTTATGTCTCCGTAAGAAAGGTGAAAAAAATGGCTCTCTCATATGGCCTGAGCCCAGATACTTTAAATTCTATTTTTTCTTTTAATTTTACTTCTCACATGAAAAAAAAGCAAAGTGCTTACAAATGACTTTATGGTTATCCCAGGAAGCACCAGTACCAGAAGGGGCACAGGTTTCTACTGTGACTAAATTAATTTGCTAAGCATGGCAAACGTGAGGACAGGCACCAGGGTTTAGGGGCGAGACCTAAATCCCAGGGAAGGTGACTGAACCCTAATCGGACTCTGGGAAAGGAGGTAAAGATGAGGCTGGAAAGGAGGTAAAAATGACGCCCATTTCCACATCAGATACTGCGGACCCCAAACAATGCGCAGCTGAGGGACACCAACCCCTGCGGCTGAATCCCTGTGTCTAACTACTGACTCCCCAAAAACTTAACTCAGGGCCTACTGTTGACCAATAAAAAATGGTCGGTTCACACCTTCTGTACGTTCTGTGTACCACACATCCCGTATTCTTACAAGAAAGCTAGAGAAAAAATCCCAAGGAAGAGAAAAATCTATTCATGGCACTACGCTGTACCACGTGTCGCGGCCTGTGGACGTCACACCTGTGCCGTGCAAGGGTCCGCAAGGGTCCGCCGCGCCCTGTCACGCAAATGAGCGACTGCACTTCCCACCCAATGTGCCTGAGGGAGGAGTTTGTCCTCTTAACTGTGGGAAACCTACCTGGACTGTTTATTCCTTTTTGGATCTTCGGCAGCAAAGATGTGCACTGTGCCGTGGTCACTGGACACGCAGATGAGGGACGCGTCCGGGTTGAAGTTAATGCTGCAGAGGAATCAGAGGCCGCTCTGGTCTCATGTGGACGCAGAGAAGCCCCCCAACTGCAGTGCCACGCTGCCACAGGAGCTGGCGCCTCGAGACCTGGTCTTCCTAAATTCCACACAGCAACCGTAAGCACAACCCTCCCTCCATTCAGCAGCCCGCAGCGCTCTCCACGGAACCAGAGGGTCCACACTGGGGAGCGGGCTTCCTGTGGCCACCCCTCCATACCACTCGGGTGATAGCCCTGGCCCCTGGAGGTGCGAGCTGCCCTCCGGAGGGGGCACCACTGGGGCTGGGCAGGCCCCCACCCTGGCTGGAGAGGCCCTGCGAACAGACACAGAGGAGAGCCCCCACAGGGCTCCACGGGCACAGGCACTAAGTGCAAGTTCACGCCGTGTTTGTCGTACAGACCCAAATGCCGCCCAGCACTCGCCAAGGCCACAGACGCAAAGCATGAAAGCCCACCCCAGCAAGGGGTCCCCCACGGCAGGGCCGCAGACCCCGAGTGATTACAGAGGAGCTAACAAGGTCTCCGGTGTGTGTCTTAGAATACCACGGAAAAAATCAGCTGGAGGAGCAGTGGCGAAGAAATAAAGCTGGCGAGTACTGACGAACACGGAGGCAGGGTCCATGACAGTTAATTACATTCTCTTTAACTTCCGTCCATATTCCCATAACGATTTAAAGCTCTTCCTAATAAAACAAGCTGACACCAATTCCCTAAGAGCAGGCAGGGGCCCTGATTTTCCCTCAGTCCAACAAGCGGCATTTCAATGCCGTCAACCCAAAGCCACGGCCTCTCAAGGCAGACGGGGCGGGGGGGGGGTACTTTCTTACCAATAAATATTGGCTGCTTGAGATCCTCTCCGTAGCTCCTGGATTAAATGCCCTGATGAAGTATCAAATATTCTTATAAGGGTCCCCTTTGAAAAACAGTGAAGTGTTTTATTATCATTCACAACCTTTTAGTTTTTTGAAATGAGTATTATACTCACAAACCCATCAGCCCATACAACCCCTTCCCAACTCACCCTCCTCATCTAAAACTCCACTTCTCCCTCCACTGTACCCAAGAATAAGCTGGTGGCTCTTCAGTCCCACGGCCCTGGACAGGAGCCCAGAGCCCTGGGTGCCAGCCCTCCACTAACCCCTGCCTCCCCTGCCCCAGCAGACCCTCTTCCACAGCCGGGGCAGGCATGTTCCTGGAGGGCTACTGTTCTCGGTCTAGAGAAATGACACCTTCATGGTAATTCCCGTGGCCAGTTAGAAAAAGGAAGTGATTCTGCTTCCAAAATATGAGGCTCCATCAAGTAAAATGACTTTCCAATGGTCTATGTCAACTACGACTTGATTCCAAGAGGGTGGCCAAGAACCCGTAAGGAGTCAGAAGCCACAGGGAAGGGCCGGCTTCCCACAGGGCCACACTCTAGGTCGTTGGGAGGACGGGGCTGCTGGGGCAGGTGCGCAGCTTGAAGGGGAGGGACGCGCACTTACTTTCTCAGATGCAGTTGCGATTCTCGTTCCCTGCAGGTTGAGAGCAACGCAGCTCAGGACGCCCTCGTGGGCTGGAATGTCCACCGGTGGCTTCTCCGTACTAGCCAGGTCCACGAGCTGCACATGGCCCGTATGCGTGCCCGGGAAGGCCAGGAGGGAGTTGTTACTGTTGGGGCACAGGACGCAGAGGCCTGATCGGAGATGGAGAGAGCCCATCAAGCATTCACGACTGTCTACGAGCTTCTGCCTTACCCCAACAAAACCCATTCTGTCTTCTAGCTCACGAGGAAAAAAAAAATACATAAGACTTACTTACATGTTTTCATTTTTTAAAAAAAATATTTTATTTATCTTAGTGAGAGAGAGAGAGAGAGCGTGCACAGGGTGGGCAGGCAGAGGGGCAGGGTAGAGGGAAAAGTGAGATTCTCAAGCAGACTCCCTGCTGAGCCCAGAGCTCGAGGTGGGGCTCGAGCCCATGACCCTGAGATCATTACCTGAGCTGAAACCAAGAGTCGGATGCTTAACTGAGCCACCCAGGCACCCCCAGGGGTTTTCATTTATATCAGAATCACAAAATCTTTTCCTTAGGTATTAGAGGGCCAAACAAAGCGAACCCTGTGAGACTGCCTCATAACCGGACCATCTGCTGAACTTGTTCTTAAATAAACTTTGTCAAATATCCATCTTCCGTGGTACTAGCCACTGAGAATACAAAATTGTGAAGTATAAAAACTCCATTAACAATCGCATAAAATCCCAAAATACTTAGGAATAAATTAAACAGTGCTGTATAAGACACTGTAACACAATGTAGAAGAAAACCAAATTTCTGATGGACGGAGAGCTGATCGGATCTGACCTACTGTGGTCACGGCTAGAATCGACTCTGCCCGCAGGTCACTGTGGTCATAGTCAAGCTGTCTGCAGGCTTTCTGAACGAGCCGACCGACACTAGACGTTATAAGGAAAGGCAAGGTCCTAGAATAGCCAAAATTTTTTTTGTAAGATAAGAACAATATCGGAGAACTTATACTACTGAGTTTTAAGATTTTAAGAATTATTTCAAAGCTCTAGACACCAATTATAATATTGACATAAGGACATATCACTGGAATAGAACAGAATCCAGAAAAATCTTACACTTACTTGATTTAAAAAAAAAAAAAAAAGGCACCAAGATAATTCAAGGCAGAAAAAAATAGTCTTCTTAACAAATGGTACTAGAAACTGGATATTCATAAAGAAAAATACAAATCTGGGCCTTTGTCTCACGCCATATGCAAAAAAATAGATTAAAGACCTAACTTAAGATCTAAAGCTTCTAGAAGAACACATAAAAGAAAATCTTTATTTTGCAAAAAAAACACAAACTGAAAATATCTGCAAAAGTGACAAAGAACCTTATCTAGAATATACCAAGAATTCTTACAACTCAGTGAGAAGATAAACAATGTTAAAGCAAGAAAAGATGTGAAGACACCTCATAAGAGATGTCTGAATGGCGAAAAGCGCATGACAAAGGGCTTAACACTGCCGGTCCTCAGAGAAACGCAAACGAAGCCCCAGAGACATACTATTCCCTCGGGGTCGCGGTCCCGGTCGCGGTCGCGGCAACGCCCCCACGTTCAAAAGAGGGACAGTACCGAGTGCTGGGGCACGGGCTGCTGCCGCCGGCTCTCCTGGACCACTGTTAAGTTCAGATCACCGGATCTCCTGGTGGGGGTGCAGGAGGACCCCGCCTCTCTAGACAACAGCTGTATTTTATTAACGTGGACGCAGCATCACGACACCATCTCCAGTATTCGCCCGAGAGAAAGAAAACAATTCCTCGAGGCAAAGACGTGTCTGCGAACGTCCGCACCGACTTCTGTTCGCCACGGTCCGAACGCTGGAGGGGATGAATGACCCGGCAGACCCACACTGCGCAATGTCACGAGGCGGTAAAGACGAGAGGAAGAACACACACGCCACGCCTGGAAGAACTTGAGGTCTAGGCAGCGAAAAGAAAGACACGAACACAACCGAGAAGGCAGAACCTGAAGGCCAGGTAGGGAAGGGGGCCGCCCGGACTCCTCTCCGCTGCGGCGGCAGTTACACAGCTGCTCAAAGTGACCAAACGGTATCCAACAACACAGTCAACACGAGTGAGTCGTATGGATATTCTAGCTCAATAAAGCCAGAAGAAAAACACTAAAAATTTTAAAAAGAAATTAAGGTGCAACAATGAGGAACAGAGTCACATGCAATCCTTGCTCCGGAAGAAAAAGGGACGGAGACCCCTCAGAACTCAGAGAAAACACACAGTCCAAGGTCGCCCAAGGAGCTCCTGACCCCCTGACAACAACTGGCTGACAATGGTGGGGGGGGCTCCCCTCACTCTCCCCCAACAATGGTGGGGGGGGCTCCCCTCACTCTGCCCTGACAATGGTGGGGGGGGCTCCCCTCACTCTGCCCTGACAATGGTGGGGGGGGTAAAAAGAAAAAAAAAAAAAAAAAAAAAAGAGGGGTGTGACTGGGTGGCTCAGTGGGTTAAGCCTTTGCCTTCGGCTCAGGTCATGATCTCGGGGTCCTGGGATCGAGCCCTGTGTCGGCCTCTCTGCTCAGCAGGGAACCTGCTTCCCCCCCTCTCTCCGCCTGCCTCTCTGCCTACTTGTGATCTCTGTCAAATAAATAAATAAATAATCTTTATTATTAAAAAAAAAAAAAGAGTGCCCAGATGCTGACCTTGTGAGACGAGGACGCTTAGAGGCACGCCAGGATCAGGGCCGCCCAAGGTGTGAGCAGTGCGTGAGGGCCACACAGACCAGCCCCTCTTGCAGGAGTGCAGAGCCCGTGAACAGTGCCCAGCGAGAAGTGCTGCTCTTCCTGCCCACGAGCGGACACCAGAGACGACGAATATTCAAGACACAGACGCAGCATCAAACTGAAATAAACACCAAGCAGAAGAGAGGGCGGGTGGGAGCAGTTACGGGAAACGTCCCTCGGAACAACAGACAAAACACACCAACAGAGAAACACGAAGGCCTGAGTCAGCCGTCTACAGGCGACACGCACGTGGCCACGGAGGCGTTCCGAACGTTCCACCCGCCCAGAACGGAGACCTGTCCTCTCCACCAACGATGACAGCAGCTGTGCTCGGAGCCCAGTCCTGGTGAGGCTGAGGCGGCCGGTGCTGGGCAGGGACACCGACAGAATCACGGCAGGGAGGGCGGCACATGTATTTGACAAGTGTGCAAACATGTGCACAAGGATTACTGTTTCCTAAAGGTCTGTAATACCAAAAAAAACACAAATTAGCACCTCTGGGCAACTGAAGTGTGGCCCGACCCGTCCGCGAGCTTTCTAGCTGAGGCGCGGCTGCTGCAAATGAGCTGCCGCATCCCAGAGGCAGAGGCTTTCCAGGAGTGGCAGCTCGGGGCAGTTTCACTCCAACGGGACTCTCCCATCTGTTCTCTCCTACTTTACAGCTTTGTGAACTTCGGCTGTAAGCATCCTCTGATCCATTTCGAGGATCGAAATTTTGGTCCAAGTTCCCAAAGTGGTGTCGTCACGCCGATGTCTGTTACAGAAAGAACGAAGGGAGGTCAGGGGCCCATCTCACGAAGCCGTCTCTGGCATCTACAAGTTTGGTAAAGACGTGTGGTCCCGAGAGGGCCAGAGGGCCGGTGGCGTCCAGCGGCAGAGCAGGCGGCGGACTCCTGGTACTCCGCTGTCACCGGCAGCCCGAGCGGGGCCGAGGGCTTCTGAGGACACACCCTGACTAGCGGGACAGCCCATCCTGGAGGGTGACGAGGCTGCAGGGTGCTCCGGCGACTGCGCCTGCCTCCGCGGCGTGGAAGGAAGGAAAGGTACGAAGGGCCGGAGGAAGACCCCCGTCTGCGAGAGGATGGAAAGGACAGCCTAGCGAGCAGCGCCACCCAGGCAGTGACTGAACGTTGACACGGACACCTGCTGCCCAGCCCAGCCCCCAAGTGGGGGACCGTGGAGGGAGAACTTGTCTGTGTCCCCCTGATGCCCATGCTCGGGGCCAGCAGGACTCAGCCACACGAGACGGAAGGCGGCGGCCCCGGCTCCCAGCAACCCCTCTCTCTACACAGAGCTTCGAATCGACGGTTATCAGTTTGGAGAACACTTTTGGCTCTGCTCTATGTGAGCCTTCAGAAGGTTCACCGGGCAGCGCCCCTGTGCTGGGGACACTGCTCCTCCCCACACCTCCCTAGACGGGTGACTCAAGGTCACAAGCACGGGCCTGGGTGGGTGCATGGTGTCTGACCGCCTCAGCCTTCCAGGCCCTGGACTCTCTCCGTGGGGCCTGTCCCGGAGGACAAGTGGGGCCTTCACCATCCCGAGGGAAAACTCGCAGGGCATACACCGGGGCTCCTTGCAGGTGGCCCGGGATGTCCTAATTTTGTGAAGGATGCAAGGTCATGCCCGACGTGGTGGAGCCAGGACCATGCTCTCACACTGGACTCTCCTAGGGCGTGCTAGAACATTCTGGGTGTTCCAGATGGCGCCTCTCTGATGTCCCCCCCCACCCCCACCCCCCGCCGCCAGCACCGCAGCCGTCTCCACGCACAGGGTCACGGCTGTGGTTTCTCACACAACGTGCTTCCTGGTTTCCTGCACAGCTGGACACGCCAGAGGGACTCTACTGGGGGAAACGTGACCTAGTAACGGTATGAATGTGAAGGACCCTCCGAGCCTCTACGCACGGTTGGGGCTGACGTGTCCGAGGGGTCATCCCAACACGGACTGGGTGCCGCCCCAGAGGGAGTCCCATGTGCCACTGCGACAGCGGGCACAGCTTGCCCCCCAGACCGTACACGGTGCCACTGAACGTGACGCTCTTCACCGCCCCCCGCTCACAGGCGGGAACACCGACGCCGGAAGAGGTCGGCAGATTTGAAAACTAGGGTTTGGTTCTATAACATACAATTCTTTTCCCCTGACGGACACAGAGTACAACAAAATTAGTCACTTTTATTTTAAAAGAAACATTACAAATAAGTGCAAAATTAAACTTCATGATTAAATACACACAGAAGTACACGCATGCTGTACAGTGAAACCCACAGTTAGCGGATTACGCGACAGTAAGAGAACCGGCAGGACGCGGCGCTGCCGCCGCAGACTTGCAATGTTTGCGAACCTGAAATCAAAACCGCACAACTGGGTTTCCTTAGAGGGGATTTGAGAAAATGACACACATACCTCTGGGGGTACTAACAATATAGAGCCCATAACCTGTTTAGTCACCACGTGTTAGAAAACTTTACCGTGCCTCTCCTCGGAGCGCCAGCAGAAACGACTCGGACCGACGGCGGGGCCGTGCCCGGCTGGGCCTCCCGCTCCTGCCCAGACGTCAGGCCTGCGCTGCCGCAATGCCCAGCCTTTCCCTCCACATCCTCTAAATTAAGTGACGCTTTCCTCGGGGACTGATCCTGACGGTCTACGTTGTTCCTCTGCTCCCTGCACACAACGGGGAAACTCGGGTGGCCCGCGGGGCCCACAAAGCAGTTTGCTCGCTGCAGGCGCCCAGCCTGGGCCTCAATGCCGACGGCTCCAACAGACAGACGGGGACGGGCGCACCACAGGCTCACGACAGGCACGGACAAGACCAGGACGCCGGCTTGCGGGGAGACGCCCACCCTGTGCGAACGTGGCTGGCTCTCCTCGCTTCATCTTGAGAGGAGAGAAGGAATTCCTTTCTCCTTTTCTAAGGCAAGCTGCTGGTATTATTGTTCTATTTTAAAATCTGGTGGTAACGTAAGAACTCACAGGGACACGTTTGTTCATTTTCCCATTACAGACTCAGTAAAAATGATGGAACCTGTTGCCAAAACAAATTTCCATTTGTCCATCCTTTTGTCAACCCAGTCCCTACGTGTGCACGGAGCCCCCAAGCGCACGGGGGGCAGAGGCGGGAGGGCGCGGCGGAAGCACGGAAGCTAGCATCACAGCTCAACTACGGGTCGCAGGCCAGCAGTCGGGCCCGGGCAGCTCAGAGCCACTGAGTGTCTACACTGCCTTGATGATGATTCGTTCTTTAATACTGGAAATGGGAAGCCCTGCTCAGGAAAAGAGACAACCACAGAATGGCTTCAGGACCAAGGGCCCGGGGCAGTCCTCTGGCCGCTGACCCATGAGGCCCAAGGGCCCCGGCACCAGCCCCAGGGTCTGAAGGGCACACTCGGTGCTCCGGAGCGGCCGGCCGTGCTGGTTGCACTCCCAGCGGAGTCACAGCTTGTCATCGGTCATTTCTAGAAACTGCGCGTAGACGTCCCGGATGCACTCCCCCTTGGGGTTGAAGAGGAATTTGTAGTAGCTGCCGTCTGCACAAATCGCTGAGACAGAAGGAGACCGTTTTACTCAGCGGCTTCTGCCCTCAACGTTAACAAGCAGACCTCCCTGAGCTCAACTCTAAATGGCCTTGCTCTGGGCAGCAACGCAGAGTGAATGTGGGGAACAAGGGACCCCCCCACTCCTGACTGAGCACACGTGTGGCCAGGAACCCCGGCTGCTCTGGGGTGGTGCCTGCCTTCGACTCAGGTATGGAGGGATCTGGTCATCAGTTCAAACACCACATGACCTGCCCCCCCCACACAACTTCCTAGGAAACCCCAGAGGGCGGGAAGGGGGCTGCTGTCACCCCACATGACTGCGCCCCCAGGAGAGTGAGCACGGGGCGGCCAGCACAAGGACCACTTACCGATGACAGCATTTGGCTCTGTTCCAAAGGCACAGATGCACGGAGAGCCTGAGGGAACCTGAAACTTGGAAAAACTCCACTTGGAACTGAAGTACTTTGGAAGGAAACTGGCTGAGGCCAGACTAGGAGGGCAAGGGGGGAGAGAAAAGGCAGTTATGTCTCCGTAAGAAAGGTGAAAAAAATGGCTCTCTCATATGGCCTGAGCCCAGATACTTTAAATTCTATTTTTTCTTTTAATTTTACTTCTCACATGAAAAAAAAGCAAAGTGCTTACAAATGACTTTATGGTTATCCCAGGAAGCACCAGTACCAGAAGGGGCACAGGTTTCTACTGTGACTAAATTAATTTGCTAAGCATGGCAAACGTGAGGACAGGCACCAGGGTTTAGGGGCGAGACCTAAATCCCAGGGAAGGTGACTGAACCCTAATCGGACTCTGGGAAAGGAGGTAAAGATGAGGCTGGAAAGGAGGTAAAAATGACGCCCATTTCCACATCAGATACTGCGGACCCCAAACAATGCGCAGCTGAGGGACACCAACCCCTGCGGCTGAATCCCTGTGTCTAACTACTGACTCCCCAAAAACTTAACTCAGGGCCTACTGTTGACCAATAAAAAATGGTCGGTTCACACCTTCTGTACGTTCTGTGTACCACACATCCCGTATTCTTACAAGAAAGCTAGAGAAAAAATCCCAAGGAAGAGAAAAATCTATTCATGGCACTACGCTGTACCACGTGTCGCGGCCTGTGGACGTCACACCTGTGCCGTGCAAGGGTCCGCAAGGGTCCGCCGCGCCCTGTCACGCAAATGAGCGACTGCACTTCCCACCCAATGTGCCTGAGGGAGGAGTTTGTCCTCTTAACTGTGGGAAACCTACCTGGACTGTTTATTCCTTTTTGGATCTTCGGCAGCAAAGATGTGCACTGTGCCGTGGTCACTGGACACGCAGATGAGGGACGCGTCCGGGTTGAAGTTAATGCTGCAGAGGAATCAGAGGCCGCTCTGGTCTCATGTGGACGCAGAGAAGCCCCCCAACTGCAGTGCCACGCTGCCACAGGAGCTGGCGCCTCGAGACCTGGTCTTCCTAAATTCCACACAGCAACCGTAAGCACAACCCTCCCTCCATTCAGCAGCCCGCAGCGCTCTCCACGGAACCAGAGGGTCCACACTGGGGAGCGGGCTTCCTGTGGCCACCCCTCCATACCACTCGGGTGATAGCCCTGGCCCCTGGAGGTGCGAGCTGCCCTCCGGAGGGGGCACCACTGGGGCTGGGCAGGCCCCCACCCTGGCTGGAGAGGCCCTGCGAACAGACACAGAGGAGAGCCCCCACAGGGCTCCACGGGCACAGGCACTAAGTGCAAGTTCACGCCGTGTTTGTCGTACAGACCCAAATGCCGCCCAGCACTCGCCAAGGCCACAGACGCAAAGCATGAAAGCCCACCCCAGCAAGGGGTCCCCCACGGCAGGGCCGCAGACCCCGAGTGATTACAGAGGAGCTAACAAGGTCTCCGGTGTGTGTCTTAGAATACCACGGAAAAAATCAGCTGGAGGAGCAGTGGCGAAGAAATAAAGCTGGCGAGTACTGACGAACACGGAGGCAGGGTCCATGACAGTTAATTACATTCTCTTTAACTTCCGTCCATATTCCCATAACGATTTAAAGCTCTTCCTAATAAAACAAGCTGACACCAATTCCCTAAGAGCAGGCAGGGGCCCTGATTTTCCCTCAGTCCAACAAGCGGCATTTCAATGCCGTCAACCCAAAGCCACGGCCTCTCAAGGCAGACGGGGCGGGGGGGGGGTACTTTCTTACCAATAAATATTGGCTGCTTGAGATCCTCTCCGTAGCTCCTGGATTAAATGCCCTGATGAAGTATCAAATATTCTTATAAGGGTCCCCTTTGAAAAACAGTGAAGTGTTTTATTATCATTCACAACCTTTTAGTTTTTTGAAATGAGTATTATACTCACAAACCCATCAGCCCATACAACCCCTTCCCAACTCACCCTCCTCATCTAAAACTCCACTTCTCCCTCCACTGTACCCAAGAATAAGCTGGTGGCTCTTCAGTCCCACGGCCCTGGACAGGAGCCCAGAGCCCTGGGTGCCAGCCCTCCACTAACCCCTGCCTCCCCTGCCCCAGCAGACCCTCTTCCACAGCCGGGGCAGGCATGTTCCTGGAGGGCTACTGTTCTCGGTCTAGAGAAATGACACCTTCATGGTAATTCCCGTGGCCAGTTAGAAAAAGGAAGTGATTCTGCTTCCAAAATATGAGGCTCCATCAAGTAAAATGACTTTCCAATGGTCTATGTCAACTACGACTTGATTCCAAGAGGGTGGCCAAGAACCCGTAAGGAGTCAGAAGCCACAGGGAAGGGCCGGCTTCCCACAGGGCCACACTCTAGGTCGTTGGGAGGACGGGGCTGCTGGGGCAGGTGCGCAGCTTGAAGGGGAGGGACGCGCACTTACTTTCTCAGATGCAGTTGCGATTCTCGTTCCCTGCAGGTTGAGAGCAACGCAGCTCAGGACGCCCTCGTGGGCTGGAATGTCCACCGGTGGCTTCTCCGTACTAGCCAGGTCCACGAGCTGCACATGGCCCGTATGCGTGCCCGGGAAGGCCAGGAGGGAGTTGTTACTGTTGGGGCACAGGACGCAGAGGCCTGATCGGAGATGGAGAGAGCCCATCAAGCATTCACGACTGTCTACGAGCTTCTGCCTTACCCCAACAAAACCCATTCTGTCTTCTAGCTCACGAGGAAAAAAAAAATACATAAGACTTACTTACATGTTTTCATTTTTTAAAAAAAATATTTTATTTATCTTAGTGAGAGAGAGAGAGAGAGCGTGCACAGGGTGGGCAGGCAGAGGGGCAGGGTAGAGGGAAAAGTGAGATTCTCAAGCAGACTCCCTGCTGAGCCCAGAGCTCGAGGTGGGGCTCGAGCCCATGACCCTGAGATCATTACCTGAGCTGAAACCAAGAGTCGGATGCTTAACTGAGCCACCCAGGCACCCCCAGGGGTTTTCATTTATATCAGAATCACAAAATCTTTTCCTTAGGTATTAGAGGGCCAAACAAAGCGAACCCTGTGAGACTGCCTCATAACCGGACCATCTGCTGAACTTGTTCTTAAATAAACTTTGTCAAATATCCATCTTCCGTGGTACTAGCCACTGAGAATACAAAATTGTGAAGTATAAAAACTCCATTAACAATCGCATAAAATCCCAAAATACTTAGGAATAAATTAAACAGTGCTGTATAAGACACTGTAACACAATGTAGAAGAAAACCAAATTTCTGATGGACGGAGAGCTGATCGGATCTGACCTACTGTGGTCACGGCTAGAATCGACTCTGCCCGCAGGTCACTGTGGTCATAGTCAAGCTGTCTGCAGGCTTTCTGAACGAGCCGACCGACACTAGACGTTATAAGGAAAGGCAAGGTCCTAGAATAGCCAAAATTTTTTTTGTAAGATAAGAACAATATCGGAGAACTTATACTACTGAGTTTTAAGATTTTAAGAATTATTTCAAAGCTCTAGACACCAATTATAATATTGACATAAGGACATATCACTGGAATAGAACAGAATCCAGAAAAATCTTACACTTACTTGATTTAAAAAAAAAAAAAAAAGGCACCAAGATAATTCAAGGCAGAAAAAAATAGTCTTCTTAACAAATGGTACTAGAAACTGGATATTCATAAAGAAAAATACAAATCTGGGCCTTTGTCTCACGCCATATGCAAAAAAATAGATTAAAGACCTAACTTAAGATCTAAAGCTTCTAGAAGAACACATAAAAGAAAATCTTTATTTTGCAAAAAAAACACAAACTGAAAATATCTGCAAAAGTGACAAAGAACCTTATCTAGAATATACCAAGAATTCTTACAACTCAGTGAGAAGATAAACAATGTTAAAGCAAGAAAAGATGTGAAGACACCTCATAAGAGATGTCTGAATGGCGAAAAGCGCATGACAAAGGGCTTAACACTGCCGGTCCTCAGAGAAACGCAAACGAAGCCCCAGAGACATACTATTCCCTCGGGGTCGCGGTCCCGGTCGCGGTCGCGGCAACGCCCCCACGTTCAAAAGAGGGACAGTACCGAGTGCTGGGGCACGGGCTGCTGCCGCCGGCTCTCCTGGACCACTGTTAAGTTCAGATCACCGGATCTCCTGGTGGGGGTGCAGGAGGACCCCGCCTCTCTAGACAACAGCTGTATTTTATTAACGTGGACGCAGCATCACGACACCATCTCCAGTATTCGCCCGAGAGAAAGAAAACAATTCCTCGAGGCAAAGACGTGTCTGCGAACGTCCGCACCGACTTCTGTTCGCCACGGTCCGAACGCTGGAGGGGATGAATGACCCGGCAGACCCACACTGCGCAATGTCACGAGGCGGTAAAGACGAGAGGAAGAACACACACGCCACGCCTGGAAGAACTTGAGGTCTAGGCAGCGAAAAGAAAGACACGAACACAACCGAGAAGGCAGAACCTGAAGGCCAGGTAGGGAAGGGGGCCGCCCGGACTCCTCTCCGCTGCGGCGGCAGTTACACAGCTGCTCAAAGTGACCAAACGGTATCCAACAACACAGTCAACACGAGTGAGTCGTATGGATATTCTAGCTCAATAAAGCCAGAAGAAAAACACTAAAAATTTTAAAAAGAAATTAAGGTGCAACAATGAGGAACAGAGTCACATGCAATCCTTGCTCCGGAAGAAAAAGGGACGGAGACCCCTCAGAACTCAGAGAAAACACACAGTCCAAGGTCGCCCAAGGAGCTCCTGACCCCCTGACAACAACTGGCTGACAATGGTGGGGGGGGGCTCCCCTCACTCTCCCCCAACAATGGTGGGGGGGGCTCCCCTCACTCTGCCCTGACAATGGTGGGGGGGGCTCCCCTCACTCTGCCCTGACAATGGTGGGGGGGGGGCTCCCCTCACTCTGCCCTGACAATGGTGGGAGAGCAGGTCTCAGCCTGGCAGGCCAGGTGCTGGTGTGACAACATGGCCTGGAGAGCTCACCCGGAAGGCGGCGGCGGGCACCAAGGGAAAAAGGCACAAGAGGAAGAAAGAGAAGCCTGTCCCCATCCAAGTGCCCCCATCGAGTCTCAGGACTCATCCCACCGTGGCAGTGCCGCTCAGACAGAGAGACCTGCCGCAGGAGAGGGCACCCGGCACAGGTCCCCACTGGACAGGACATCAAAGAGCCAACTTCCATCATTACTCCTCTGCATTTCTTACCTTTAGGGTTATAGCAGGTTTCAAAGACATGCAACTGATGGGGGTTGTGTGTGAATGTAAACACCTTAATCATTGAGTCCAAAACAACCACAATTCTGGAAAGAAAAAAAAAATCAGAATTCCTATTCCCAAAAGCGAAACTCAAACATTTTGTGATTTTTGTTCTTATCATTTGAAACTTAGAAATGGTCCAAAGAGCACAGACAGAAGGATCATTCTTGAATCAGAGCCCTGAGCAGGCAAGGTCTCTGGAGGTTGGTCACTTACGAGCCCCCGGGGGAGTGGCCGGCACTGACGGACAAATGCCCCTCCCCTGAGCACCTTGGTACAGGCGGACTAATGGACCTTCCTGAGGGTTAGGGACATTTTCATCAAATATTTCATCTAGAGAAGAACCAAGTAGAGTACGTAGAGCAGAAAGTATTTTTTTATATGCTTTTAGATAAATCCGGATAATTTAGAAATGCTAGAAACTGGAAGGTCCTTGGATTTGGCTCCAGGATTTGCGTTATTAGGGGGAACCAGCAACATCACTGGAAGTCACAAACCTAAGAATACAAATATGATAGTCCCCTACTCCCATTCACCTTGTTCAACATCTCTGCCCCTCCCACATCGGAGTATAAGATGTAAATAACACCAAATTAAAATCCAAATTAATGAGACTCTATCTTGCTGAACTTAACAGTAAAAACGTCTATGTCCTCCTAAACGCCATAACGGCGACGGCTAGGAGGAGCCTGTCACTTCCAACGGGTGACAGCAATGCCACAGTCTCCTTCACAAGGAGGCTCTGGATCTTCCTTATCTTCCCACTGGTAACATTTATTGAGGCAGCGCGTGGCAAAGCTGGACTGGGAGCAGGAAGGCTCAAGCCCCGTGTCCTCAGTGGGAACCTGCTGGACAGGGACCATCCTCTGAGGGACTGAGGACCACCAGGGGCTGCGTCCAGGCACCGACAAGCCGCTTCTAAGCGAGCCGGGGAAGCCCGTAAAACGCACACCTTCTTTGCAGCAACACAAAGAATGCCATGACCTTTGGGTCGTAAACTACAATCACCACATTTGAAGACGTGATTTTCCCAAACACATTTCTTCCTTCAATATGAAAATATTTCAGCCGTCTTCAGAGAAAGCAACTATTCCACTTTGAAAACTAAGACAGCAAACCTACCGATCTCGCCGTAGCTTCACTGCTTTGACTTCTGTAGAAAATTCTATTTCAATAACAGTCTTCTTTTTCAGGTCATCCCAGATCATCACTGCAATTTCAGAGAGAACTTATGGGCACACCAGTACACAGGCAGCGGGGCCTTGCAGAAGCGTCCTGACCTCACGGGTCTCTGACCAGCGGGAGGTGCTGCTCTCCCACTGCCCAGTCTCAGACCCGAGGGACGTGGGCGGCCCACCACTCGCCAGGCTGTCTCTGAGAGCGGAGCGCTCCCCCACTCCCCCCGCCCGGCTCTTCCCTTCCAGCACCCCGGCCCAGTCTCCCCACAGCCCCACACGCACTCCTCCTTTCTGCCAACCTCGCCTAGATTTCGGGCGAACTTCTCCCCACCCCTCTTTTCTCGGTTCCACCTGCCTGAGCCAAAAGCAGGCCTGACCACAGCTCCTCCTGGAGTTCTAGAGACACACCTGGATCAGGCAGAAAAGAGAAGCTTCCGTGTTAATGGGTGAAAGCCCAGGGCTGGGGACTTCTCTCAGCCCCAGCCTGACCATTCCTGCTCGTCCGCCCCACAAGCTGCACGCGCCACCGGCATTACGAAGCAGCGGTCACCACACCCCAAGGGCTGAGAAAATTTACAGACAGCCTGAGGACGAGGACGGCCACACTGAGCTGGGGGACAGGTGTGGGGACTGCTCTATCTTCTGCACCTTTCTCTTACAAAGCTGTCTAGGGGGCCGTGAGGTCAGGGAACGTAAGCTTCCTCAGCAGGCCGTGGGCTAGGGGCCCCAGGGTAGAAGGTGATCAGTGTCTCCCCCAAAGGTCCTGACACCATGACCACCACGAGTCCTGGAGGTGGGGTTCTGGGGTAAGTTTTGCCAGAATGGACTCAGTGACCTCCATTTCATATCAAGAGATAACAACACCTATGAGAACTAACAAACTTTTATGGAATTATTTACTATTGAAGAGATTAAAATTTATAACCATCCAAAAACAGAGCAGACTTCTGTTGTCACCCCTTTAAAATGCCATCTTTGATAAATCTCTTCATTCCCAAAGCGGGCTCCCCTCGAAGTGCCCGGGAGCGCCAGCAGGTCAGTATGTGGGGCGGGACCTCAGTCCACGGTCCCCTCACTGAGACAATAACCTGCCCACAGAGGACGCGGGTACACTCGACCCTGCAGAGAAGCTCGAAAGTAAGCTTCTGCAACCCAACACCACAACGTCTGCCGTTCAGAACAGACGTAAACCGGCCCTGTCCAGAGAGAATCCCACAGAGGAGCCACGTCAACGGTGTCACAAATCCGAGTAAACTCGATTTTCAGAAATTTCTGTAAATAGCATGACAGAGCTCCAGAACCAGCGGCTCAAATTCTCACTCACAAAAGGAAGTGACCAGACACAATGCCACGGGCAGTGAGAAAAAGCCACAGACCCAGGTGACCTTCAGCTCCCCGTGGTCTCCATGGGCTGCAAGCCGCCATCCTGGTGTGCTGGAAATTCTCCATACACACCCAGGATTTGGCATGTCTGCCTTTTAATACAGTTCCTGAGAGCAAAAGGTAGATTCGGTAATTCTGGAATTCTCCTCCTTCCGTCCTCTAAGCTCCTAAGTAAGAGGAGGCCTTAGAGTTCTGCCTCAACAGCTCTGTGGGCTCGGCCAGAACCTGCCTGTCGCGCGGGGACGACCAGTCTCCTCTGGTCTCATTCTACCGTCCTCCACAAACCAAAGACACGACTTCTTCACATCTCAACACCGTGTCTTAATTTGTAACTATTAAAATAGAGTAGATTCAGGTAGTGATTTTGATGTTACTGAAAAACCACGGTGCCACCGGAAGGGCCGGGCTCCCAACTCTCTTTCCTCCTCAGTGATCACTAACACGCGTCATGGCAAAGACAGACCCCAGTGGCAGGACTGGTGCCTGCCCCCAAGCAACCGGGGCAAGGAATTCTAAGTAGGCTCCACATTCAGCATAGAGCCCAGCGTGGGGCTCAAACCCACAACTCTGAGATCAAGCACCAGATGTCTAACCAACGGAGCCTCCCGCATCCCCATCCCTGCACTCTGAGCACGGTGGCCTCTATGTCACTTCTGGACGGCCTCTTTCTGAACTCCCAAGCCACAGGCTCTGCTGGCAACGTGCCAGACAGCAACCCAGGCTTTCTGCCCTTTAGCCCTGGTCGTGACAAGCTGGAGGGGTCCATGCACACCACCACAGGCAGTTCCACTCCCCAAGCCCACTCACGCTGTCCTCCAGGCTCCTCTCAGGGCTGCAAGCCAGGGCCCCAGGGCCTACCAAGGGTCATCCAGGACTCTACACCTTTCCATGCTCACCTGACTCCCCCCCCCAGACCTCCAGCCTCATCCTTACACCCAAAGGCACCTCCTGGAACCTTCCCTTCCTGCCCAATCTAGAAAGAGAGCTATCCACCCCCTCCCTCCATCCCCACTCAGGAACTGATCATCAGCGGGTTCCAACCTCACAGCCCTCCAGGCTGTGGGCTCACCAGCACGTGACTCGGACAGTCCCACTTACTTCTCTCTCCCTATCCCTCCCTGTGAATAAGGGCTCCCACTCTGCCATTTCCAGTCTCACACACTGCCTCCAAACTAGAACATTCCTAAACCAGAACAGGACTGTTCTCCTGACCACACCCTCAGCCGGTATGCAAGACCCCCTAGGTCTGTCCTCACCCACCTCCGCCATCCACCTGCCCCTCTCCTGGTGTCACACCCTGCTTTCTTTCCCCCCAGCGGATGCCTGGCTTTACAGTATGAAGTACAGGCCGTGGTTAGTAAAGTTTCTGTTTCTCCCTTACTTTAAAGGCCAGACCTTTTACACCACAATCTCTCTGAACACCCAGAGACTTACACACACACCAAGAACAATACTTTCTAACCCTAGAGCTGACGTTGTTTCTGTTCTACGTGACGGCGAAACTGATGTTTCTGTGAGTCCATGGCTCTCGGTCGGAAAAATACCCTTCCTAACCCTCGCTTTAAAACGAACACATAACGTTTATGATAGCAACCCACAGCTGGGCACCCAGAACAAAACGGGGTCCAGAGGCACGGCATGGCCCCCGTTTAGCCAACATTAATTGAAAAGCACATGCTTTATGTCGATGGGAACAGGTGAGCCTCGCTGCACACTTTTCTCCTGTGAACACCAGAGACAAGACTTTCTCTCTGAGTGCCTCTTGTTGGTGACGGGTCCTTCATACCCCACAGGGCCACCAGGGAAGAGCAAACAGAGCCGCAGACAGCAAGATGCTCTAGAAAGTCCCACATGTCACAGCATGGGCGGCAGGACCGTTAAGCCCACTGTCACTTTACCTTTGTTAGGGGGGTACTTCGGCTTTTTCCCACCACCGACTAAAGCTAAATAATTACAGCGAAATAACATCTCCACGTGGCCAACTCCGCCTTCCAGAAATTCTGAAATGAAATTGAAAAAAATTAGTATGTATATTTTGCCAATTAAATATAGAAAAAAGGGGAAACGTAACACCCAGCATCTGACTTTAGTCCGCAATCTGTATGTGCCCGCCAACAGAATGAGACTGCCGGCTGGCTAGGCGAGCGCTCTGGACTTCCCTCAGCAGCCCATCCTCACAAGCTGTGTTTTCGGGTATAAATGCTGAACACCCAGCACCCTACAAAGCCAACGTACCAAACGTATGAAATACCTAAAGTCATATTTTAAGGGGTAGCCAAAATCTCTAAGCTCTAAGAAAGCATGCTAACTGTGGTGGCTCACTCGTTAAGCGTCTGCCTTCACCTCAGGTCATGATCTCAGGGTCCTGGGATCAGCCCCACGTAAGGCTCTTTGTTCGGCGGGAAGCCTGCTTCTCCCTTTCCCACTCCCCCTGCTTGTGTTCCCTCTCTCGCTGTCTATCAAATAAATTTTTTTAAAAATCCTTAAACACCTCTTCCCCTGGCTTGAAATGCTCAAAGGTGCTGGTGAATTAACTTAAGAGGAAAACCTCAGCAGACTTCCGGATGTCCTCCATGAAAAAAGGAAGACAAACGATGCTCACTGGGGAAGGCAATGGGAACCCGGTGAGAAGTTTGGGGCTCAGAGAAGCAAACCCCACTCTGAATGGTTTCTGGCACAGAGCAGGACCAGTGCGCACCCTGTTCTCCCTAGCTCTGCACCCTGGTCAGCAGCGACCGGAGCTCCTCGCCCAGGAAGGGCACAGCAAAGGGCAAGTGAGGAAGCAAAACCTCTGAAAGTTAGAAGTTAACAGAAGGTCAGTCACGGCTCTTCAAGATGGTTCCAAAGTTCATCAGCTGGCTCTGTGAGCAACACAAAATTCAAGGCCTCAGAGAAACACCAGAAAGGACTGAGTATCCCCTTGATCTGGGAGCGACACAGGACTGAACCGCACGGGGCCACTTTTATGCAGACTCTTTTTAATAAATACAGTCTGATACTGTAAATGTATTTTCTCTTAAAGATTTTCGCAACAGTATTTTATTTTCTTGAGCTTACTTTATCGTATGAAGACAGTATATGATACACATCACATACAAAATATGTGTTAACTCTTATCCATAAAGCTTCCAGGCAACCGCACGCTATTAGCAGTCAAGTTGTTGCGGAGTCGAAAGTCATACACGGGGGCGCCCGGGTGGCTCAGTGGGTGAAGCATCTGCCTTTGGCTCGGGTCATGATCCTGGGGTCCTGCAATGGAGCCCCAGGTCGGGCTCCCTGCTCCACAGGAAGCCTGCTTCTCCCTCTCCTTCTCTCTCTGCCCTACCCCTGCTTGTGCTCTCTCTCTCAAATAAATGAATAAAATCTTAAAAAAAAAAAAAAGAAAAGAAAAAGAAAAAGCCACACGTGGATTTTCAGCCGCAGGGTGGGAGGAGTGGGTTAGTGTGATCGCTCCCAATTCCTGGTTGTTCAGGGTCAAGAGCAATGTTGTTTATGTAAACATCTGGGTGTCTTTCTTCCAGTGTTTTCTTTCAGATAAAACCCTTTAGGTATAATTAATGAATCAAACAGTACTTGTCTGTATAAAATAAACACATTTTGCCAAATTACCGACAAAAAGATTCTACCAACTTCAACTGTACCACTGAGGTCCTGAAATGGCCACAGAACTGTCTGCTTCTCCACAGCCAAGCCAAAGCTACAAGCTACCATGTAACACCCCCACCCCCACGACAATCCACTCACTCCCTCCACCTCACACGCTTCCCGCTTCTCTCCAGTCCCTTCATCCCGGACATGCTGGGGTGAGCACAGGAGCATGCGGCCCATTAGACAGAATGAGGACTAAGGCCCCCAACACACCGTCATGTCAGGCAGGTTGCTGGACTGGGTAATGTCAGGCATTGTGCATGACAGTTACCTCTTATTTCCAGAAGCCCGTCTTACGCAGGACTGTATCCCTAGCCCCAGTGCAGCACCGGACACTGGAGGCTCCCAGCCACCGCCCCGTGGGCTCGGGAACAGGCTGTTTTCGCCAGCGTCCCACCTCAGTCATGTGCTGCTCCTTCTCGGTCTCTGTGTCCCCTCTACTTCCCCACATTTGGCTGCCAGCGTCCCAGGTGTGAGCACTGGTCATGTGGAGGGAAACATGGGTGACACGAAGACAGGAAAATGCCTCTGAACCCCTCTGCCCACCTTGCGGCTGTGCCAGCTCACTGAGCATGAGCTATATGAGTTCCAATCTCCTCTTCACCACGGAAAGCTGTATTTTTAAATGAAAAGTGAAATTTTTTAAAAAAGTGAAATTAACTTCTTATGAGTATCTCTTGGGTTTCTATCATCACTGGGTATCCTCCTTTATCCAAATGTATCGTTCCTGAACCTTCTTCCTAGCATATGCACAGATGTGAATCCGAGTCCTACACTGGGACCCCACAGCATCACCGTGAACTCCAGACAGGCCGCCATTCCAAACAGTCTTCCCTGGGGCCCCACGGCTTTCCTGGAGCAAAGGAGAGCTGCAAACCCACCTGAGGTGTAACTAAGATGCAGGACCCTCAGCCTGGGAGGGAGTTGGGAGAAAGCTGCCTCCAACAGCTCCCAGTCCCTGCCGGTGGTGGGTGCACCTGCGAGAGGCAGCTCACGTCCAGTCCCACCTACTCAGTGCCACAGCCACACGGGACATAACAGGGCCGACAGCCCGGATCTGGGGGTGACCACGGAAGAAGTGCAGGCACACTTCCTTCCTCCTCCTTTAGGAAAGCAAACCACAAGATAAAACAGGAACCAGATCCAGTCTGTTTTCTGGCACATTTTAAGTTGTCAGAAATATAACAGCAGACCAACCTACAAGTGCGCAGGGGCGGACTGCTTAAAATACACCGTCAAGAAGCACACCGCTGCCCTGCCATGACCCTTTTCAAACTCACTCCAAGCTAAGCTTAGGGACAGACTTCCCCAGACAGCGTTCAGCTGAGCAGCAAGAGGAAACAGTACTTGCCCTCAGCGCGAGAACGACAAACCCTTCTGGAACTTAGACTTTTAAATGCTTCTTCTCTAACACGTATTTTTTTAGTTTATTTATTTATGAGAGAGAGAGAGAAAGTGCACGCACAAGCAAGGAGGGAGTCGGACTGGGGGAGGGGAAGCAGACGCCCCGCCGAGCAGGGAACCCAATGCAGGACTCAATCCCAGGACCCCAGGATCATGACCTGAGCTGAAGGCAGACACTCAACTGACTGAGCCACCCAGGTGCCCTAACATATTTTTAGAAGAAATCCTCAATTTGTTATAAACATTTCATTAATTAGGAAATAGCTGTCAATATACTGCTAATGATTCAACTTCAAAGTAACTCCTAAATTTCTGGGTCAATTTAAATAAAAAGTATTTGCAAGTCAAACTGTTTCAAAGTATTTTGTCACTATCCATATAAAGAAAAGTTGTCTTAATTCACGAAGCAACCAAAAAAATAAATAAAAGTCAGCTTGCTATAAAAGTCAGACTCCTATCACAGCCCACAGCCCCCACTGGCCCACTGAGCGCACACGGCTGCTGGGCTGACAGGTTAGGAAGGCACAAGCTAACGCAGCACTCAGCGCTGGGGCCCAGCTCTAATCTAGGTGTTTTCTCCATTCTAATTCACTGATCTTCACGATAATCTTAGGAGGTAGAGAGTTACCACCTTTCTTTTACACGAAGAAAGTGAGGCCAAGAGAAGGGGAGGCACTTGCCCAAGGTCACAGAGCAGCCTGGCAAGGGGGCAGAGTCAGATCCCTCCCAAACAATGTGGCCGAGAACCTGAGCCCTTAACTACCAGCTACTCTGTGTGCCTCTAATAAACCCACGTCACACACCTCGATTTGCAAAGTCAACCCCTACACGTAAAGCACCAGTTACTGCTCTCAACCCCAGGGCTGCGGCACAAACACTGCCTCTGACAAAGGGGTTCCGCGGTCAAAAAGACTAATGAAAGCCCCTGACGCTGGGTCACTAGTTGTTGCAATGCAAGGGGGCTGCTGGGTGGAGTACTGAGACGTACAGACAAGAAATAGTCCCAGCATGAGAAAACAGAACTTGTGCACTGAATAAAGACCAAAAGCACAACTGCAGCAAGGCAAAGGGCGTTCCCGTTTTCTACGACTCATCTGAGACTGGTTTGTCTGTCAGCAGTGCTTTATTCTCCCAGCAAGCAGAGAGAGCAGGAAACACCAAAAGTGTCAGAAAAATACCTTGGAGTAAAAATAAATTGAAAAAATTCTACCTGTAACATTTACCAATTTTTCCGGTCAAATGGCAAAAGGATCACCATCATTTTAGTATTACCAGGAGAAGTCCTGATTCCACTTGAGAAGCTTCTGAAAACTTGTATTCCCCGAAAACGTAACTTAAAACACGGAGATACGTAAACAGAAGCAACTACGACTTACTGCTACAGACAGTATTTTCTAAGTGGTCATTTATCAAGAGTCAAGAGTCCCACATACTGACGGACACCCATCACTTGAGTCCTCTACAGCTTCACATTCAGCAGGGAGAGAACGGGTCGCACCAACTACCCCGAGCTCTCCCGTGGGAGCCAGCGAGAACTGAGAACATGGCCAAGACGTAGGACGCTTCAAAGTCCACATCCCCTGGAAAATTAGGTACACATCCACAGGTGGTTCCACAGGTGGATCACCCCTGCACCCCGTCTAGGCAGGCACAGGGCCATGAACCTATTTACTTTTTTTTTTTTTTTAAAGATTTTATTTATTTATTTGACAGAGAGAGATCACAAGCAGGCAGAGAGGCAGGCAGAGAGAGAGGGGGAAGCAGGCTCCCTGCTGAGCAGAGAGCCCGATGTGGGGCTCGATCCCAGGACTCTGGGATCATGACCTGAGCGGAAGGCAGAGGCTTTAACCCACTGAGCCACCCAGGCACCCCTGAACGTATTTACTTCTTGAAACCAGACCTGTCTCCACCAGCTGCGGGATAAAATGCAGATTCTCTGAAGTCTGGAAAAAGGGAGGAACTATGAAATGTCAACTACTCTTACCTTGTTTCTCTTTTTCTTTTAGCGGATCAGTGTTATAGACTCGGAATCCGTTTTCCATCCCACATGCAAAGCATCCTAAAGTGTGAGAGAGAGAAAGAGACATTAATCGCTGCAGTGGGACCTCAGCTGAGGGCGCCGGGGCCCGAAACAGCAAAAACAAGGGGTCTGGAGAAAACAGCCTTTCCTAAGAGCTCTTGCAGATGCTCCGAGCACCCGGGTGTGGCCTGCCCAGGCCCCAGCTCCCCTCCTCAGGGCTGCTACTCAATGACGTGCACAACCTGGCACGTACTCAGTCACCTAACGTGAAAAAGAGCCCTTGCTGTCACTCCAGCTTCCCCCTGCAGGGCCCTTCTCTGGCCTTGCTGAAGACCAGCTCTGCCTGAACACTTAATTCCCCGAGAGGGCTTCACCAGCTACCTTCCACAAGCCGTTCTGCCACCGCACATTTCCCTCAATACCTGCCTCTCGCTAACGCTCGTCACTGGCGTCCCCACTCCCAACACATGTCTCGAGTGCTGTGTGTCAGACACCCAGACCTGGAGCGGCAATGACGGAACAAGAAAGTCCAAGACAGCTGCGAGTGACCCATCCCAGCAACTGTGGACACAGCAGACCAGGGCAGGGGAGGAAAGGGCTGCTGCATCATGGCCTTCCAGAAAGTGGCCTGAGGTCTCCCATGACCTCCTCCCACCTGTAAACAAGCCTAACCTTGAAGCCCCAGTCACGGTCACACACCAGGTTGTTAACAGTCCAATTAACATCCACCGGAACAGCCAAAATGGCAGGAAATGCCAAGTATGAAGCCCGTCTGAAGGCATGGGGACTCTGACACTGCTGGTGGCCGCCAAACTGGTGCCCCCACCCTGGCGCACTGTCTGCGGGCTCTAGCACGACTCCTGGGCACTGTACTCCTGGGCACACGCGCCTCACAGAAACAACAACACTGGTTTGCAAAGGTGTGTGTCAGAATGTTCACAGCAGCCCTACCACAGCCTAACAGCCACAAACTGGGAACCCACCCAAATGCCCCCCAACGGCAGACTGAATTGAGACACAGTCACACAAAAAACTGCGACGCGTCACGGAGGACGATCTACAATACTCGGCAATACGGAAAATGTCTCACAAACGTGATGCTGGATAAAAAAGCCAGGAACGAAAGTGAAGTACAGAGACAGGCAAAACGAACTACACCACCGGAAGTCAGGCTGGACAGGGCAGTGACTGGAAGGAGCACAGGACGGCCAGGTGTGCTCAGGCTGGAAAACTCATCAAGCTGAACACTCTTCGGGGCTACACTTTTCTGGAAGCACAGCAGCCTTCACTGAAAAGAAGGAAAGGCATTACGAACACCCCAGGTTGGCAGCCCCTCTCTCAAGAAGTCTAGGCATCCGTCTGCAGCGACGCGGATGAACTAGAGGGCACTGTGCTGAGCGAAGTAATTCAGTCGCAGAAAGACAATTATCATACCATCTCCCTGATACGAGGGATTTGAGAGGCAGGGCGGGGGGTCATGGGGGGGAAGGGAGGGAAAAAATGAAACAAGATGGGATCGGGAGGGAGACAAACCATAAGAGACTCTTCATCTCACAAAACAAACCAAGGGTTGCTGGGGTGGGGGGGAGGGTGGTTGGGTGATGGACACTGGGGGGGGCATGTGCTATGGCGAGTGCCATGAAGTGTGTAAGCCTGACGAGTCACAGACCTGCACCCCTGCGACAAGTGATATGATATGTTAATAAAAATAATTAATAAAAAAAAGAAGTCTAGGCATCATCCTTGCTACGTTCACACAACTTTGTCCAACAGCTGGGGAACCCACAAGCCCCTGGGTCAGCCGGTGGGGGTCAGCCGGTGGGGGGCAACAAGGCACTGGCCTCGCTGCGCGGTGCTCTCCTACACATAGGCACACCACGTCCCGTGCTGCTTCACGACCCTGTGCGTCGTCCAGTCGAAGGTCTGCGGCAGCCCTGCCTCCAGCACCTCTACCCGCACCACTCCTCACGGCAATTCCTCACTCATGTCTCCGTGGCACATTCTGATAATTCTAGCAAGAGTGCAGACTTTTCCATGAGTATGTTTGTTATGGTAACCTGTGATTAGTGATTACAACTCACTGAAAACTCAGATGGTAGCTAACGTTTTTTAGCAATGAAGTATTTTTTAATTAAGATATGTACGCGGGCACCTGGATGGCTCAGTCGGTTGGGCCTCTGCTGTCGGCTCACATCAAGATCTCAGGGTCCTGGGATCAAGTCCCGTGTCAGGCTCCCCACTCAGTGGGGAGCCTGCCGCTCCCTCTCCCTCTGCCTGCCACTCACTCTGCTGGTGCTCTCTCTTGGAAATAAATAAAATCTCTTTTAAAAAAATTAAAGTACATACATTTTCACAAGGACACTGCACACTTAACAGACTGCAGTATAGCATAAACCTAATTTTTACATGCACTGAGAAATAAAAATATTCATTTGACTCGGTTTATTTTGACAGTCTCTCTAGCGCAGTGATCTGGAACCAAACCTGCAGTATCTCTGAGGTGTGTGTGTACAGATTACTCACATACGGCCCATATGCAAATACTACCACCACCTCCCACCCCCCCCCACCCCTGCCCCTGTCCCACAGCTACAGTGAAGTGAGCCAAGGACAGCAGTCTATGGCCTCAGGTCTTGGTCCAGGCAGAATAAGCAAGTGTATAAAGGATATATACACAAAAATGTGAGTTTCCCAGGGGAATAGAAAGAAAAATTATAGAAATGTACACCTCAACACTCAAGAGTCTCAAAAACCATCATGCCAATTATTTTTAGAAGATAAAAGTTTGAACACTTAAAATTATGACTAGGGGCACCTGGGTGGCTCAGTGGGTTAAGCCTCTGCCTTCAGCTCAGGTCATGCTCTCAGGGTCCTGGGATCGAGCCCCACATCGGGCTCTCTGCTCGGTGGGGAGCCTGCTTCCCCCTCTCCCTCTGCCTGCCTCTCTGCCTAATTGTGATCTCTGTCTGTCAAATAAATAAAATCTTAAAAAAAAAAAACAAAACTGGGGCACCTGGGGGGCTCAGTGGGTTAAGCCTCTGCCTTCAGCTCAGGTAATGATCTCAGGGTCCTGGGATCAAGCCCCGCATCGGGCTCTCTGCTCAGCAGGGAGCCTGCTTCCCTCTTTCTCTGCCTGCCTCTCTGCCTACTTGTGATCTCCCTGTCAAATAACTAAATAAAATCTTTTTAAAAAGAAGAAGAAGGGCACCTGGGTGGCTCAGTGGGTTAAGCCTCTGCCTTCGGCTCAGGTCATGATCTCAGGGTTCTGGGATCGAGCCCTGCATCGGGCTCTTCACTCAACGAGGAGCCTCTCCCCATTGAGTTACACAGCTGCTCTCTCTCTGCCTACTTGTGATCTCTGTCTGTCAAGTAAATAAATAAAATCTTTAAAAAAAAATAAAATAAAAAATAAATCAGTGTAACTATAAAACCAAAATGTAATAAATTCAACTATCTAGCATAAATTTATAGGGAATTAACCTAAGGGTAACCAGAAGCTTAAGTATAAAGGCATATTTTTTTCCTTCAAAAACTAACTTGGTGGCTCAGTCAGTTAAATGTCTACCTTTGACTGGGGTCATGATCCTGGGGTCCTGGAATCCAGCCCCGTGTCGGGCTCCCTGCTCACTGGGGAGTCTGCTTCTCCCTCTGCACCCCACCCCCCGAGAGCTTGTGCTCTCTGTGTCTCAAATGGAAAAATAAAACCTTAAAAGAAACAAAAACAAACAAAAAAAGACGAAACCACTAACTTTACTTTTTTTTTTAATATTTGACAGAGAGAGATCACAAATAGGCAGAGAGGCAGGGGGGGAGGGTGCGGGGGGTGGGGAGCAGGCTCCCTGCTGAGCAGAGAGCCTGATGTGCAGCTCAATCCCAAGACCCCGAGACCATGATCTAAGCCAAAGGCAGAGGTTAACCCACTGAGACACCCAGGTGCCCACCCCCAACTAACTTTACTTACAATTTGTTAAAATGAAACGAGCTGGGCCTACAGAAAGATATTTTTCAGACAATTGAAATGTGGTCTTTTAAGAACCACAGCTGTATTTTATTTATTTCTTGAAAGAGGGAGAGGATCCCAAGCAGGCTCTGCTGGATCTCACGACCACGAGACGACCATGAGACCACCGCTCAAGCCGAAACCAAGAGTCGCATGCCCAACTGACTGAGCTACAGAGGTGCCTCACACAGCTCTATTTCAAAAACAATCTGAAGGCACCTGGGTGGCTCAGTGGGTTAAGCCTCTGCCTTCCACTCAGGTCATGATCCCAGGGTCCTGGGATCGAGTCCCGCATCCGGCTCTCTACTCAGTGGGGAGCCTGCTTCCTCCTCTCTCTCTGTCTGCCTCTCTGCCTACTTATGATCTGTCGAATAAATAAATAAAATCTTTAAAGAAAAATCTTTGATAAAACCCTTATAAACATATACAATCTTCACTGGTTTCTTAAATAATCAGCATCATTTTGAGCCTAGAATACTATACCAAAGCTTAATTCAAAGATTCCTCACTCAGCATCAAGGCAAGTATCATAAGAATGATTCTCTTGCATTAAATGACTTCAAGACACTAAGCTATTTGCTTTTCTAGACACAGAAAGTATCACGAGTTTTTATGGTTACCTCTTCCCTCCCTTACTACCAGCTAGCCATCTCTTTCCACTGAAAACATATTAGTTTTTTAAAGATTTTGTTTATTTATTCACAGAGAGTGGGGGACAGAAGCAGACTCCCCACCAAGCATGGAGCCCGACATGGGGTTCGACCCCAGGACCATGAGCTGAGCCAAAGGCTGAAATATGCTGAAAACATTTTTTTTTTTTTAAGATTTTTTATTTATTTATTTGACAGACAGAGATCACAAGTAGGCAGAGAGGCAGGGAGAGAGAGAGAGAGGAGGAAGCAGGCTCCCTGCCGAGCAGAGAGCCCGATGTGGGGCTCGATCCCAGGACTCTGGGATCATGACCTGAGCCGAAGGCAGAGGCTTTAACCCACTGAGCCACCCAGGCGCTCCTGAAAACATATTTCTTAAGGAGTTGTTCTATCACTGTTAATTCCTTAAAGAGCTCTCAATTATTATCAAACCCATTAAAAAACCTACTGGCAGGTGCCTGGCTGGCTCAGTGGGTTAAGCCTCTGCCATCGGCTGGGGTCATGATCTCAGAGTCCTGGGATGGAGCCCCACATCCGGCTCTCTGCTCAGCGGGGAGCCTGCTTCCCCCTCTCTCTGCCTGCTTGTGATCTCTGTCAAATAAATAAACAAATAAATAAACAAACAAATTAATTAATTAAAAACAAAAACACCTTACTGGCCCTTCTCTAGTAATCAAACCCAAAAGTGTTCAGCTACATAATTGCCCAATGTCCAACATCTGGCCTCAGACTCATACCTCACTCATAACATGTTCTCCCACAATCCCTGCAGTCCCGCCCAACCCAAATCACCTTCTGTGGCTCAGCACCCACACCTGTCCCAAATCTTCCCCAGGCCTGCCACCTCCTCCGAGAGCCCTTCCATGACCTCAAAGACTGGAAGGAAACTTGCCCTCCTCCAACGACGTGAACCTCCTAAGCCTAACCAGCTCGCCTCTTTCCACCCGCCACCTTGCTCTCCCCAGCTCTCCTGTGACACCACAATCAGCACCTGTGGGCAGGCTGGACCGATCCCCTCGATCCCTCCGAGCACAGCACAAAGTCAGCACAGGCCAAACACAGCCACGCACCCCCCGTCCGTCCGTTTAAAACCGTTTCCACAAGGCGGGCCCTACAGCACCACCGGGATTCTCTCCAAAAACGAAACTTCCAAAGCGGCCATGTGAAAGCTCTGCAGGTCTGTCCCTGAGCCGCAGCGGCCACCCCTTCCCCCGCGGGAAGCCGGTAACCCTGCCGGGGAGAGGCCGCCCTACGCCCCGGGCCTCCCGCCCCCTCCGCTCCCGCATCCAGGGGCCTCGGCTGGATTCCGAGACGTGAAAACAAAACGCGCTTCCCCCAGCCAAGTCCTTCGAGGTCCGGACACAAGAGGGAAAAACGCGAGGGGAGTTCAGGGACCCCTCCTCACCAGCGAGGACCCGCACCCCGCTGGCCCCCCTCCCGCCGCGTCTGCGTGCGCGGCTGGAGACAGACTCTGGGTTTCCGCCGCGGCCGCAGCTTCGCAGCCGGAGGCCCTCGGCGCGCTCGGGAGAAGCAGCGGCCCCCGAGCTAGGCCGTGAGGAGCCCCACGTCACGCACCCGGCGAGAGCCCGCGGAGGCGGCGGACCGAGTGGGTGCGGCCGTCGCCCGCCCGGGAGCTCCAGAAAGTCCGAGGCGAGGGACACGCCCCGACCTCGGCCCACACCCCCCGCCCGAGCGGGAGCGGCGCCGGGAGGGCCCGGGCGCGAGGCCAGGACGAAACTGGGGGCGGCACGGTCAGGGGCCGCCTTGGGGGGAAGGGACCGGGTAGGGAGGGGCCGGTTCGGGTCGGGGGGCGTCCGGGGCGGGGGGAAACGGGCCGGGTCGGGCAGTGTCAAGGCAGGGGCCTGGTCCGGTCCGGAGGCTTCGGGGGAGGGGCCGGGCCGAGTCGGGTAGCGAGCGTCGGGGGAGGAGCGGAGTCGAGTTGAGGGGCGTCCAGGGGGTGGGGAACAGGGCCGGGTCGGGCAGTGTCAAGGCAAGAGCCAGGTCGGGGGGCGTCTATGGAGGGAGTGCGCCGGGTCCGTAGGCTTCGGGGGAGGAGCCGGGTCGGGTCGTGGGGCGTCCGGGGCGGGGGAAACAGGGCCGGGTCGGGCAGCGTCAAGGCAGGGGCCGGGTCGGGGGGCGTCTATGGAGGGACTGGGCCGGGTCCGAAGGCTTCGGGGAGGGGCCGGGCCGGGGGGCTTCCGGGTCGGGACCGGGCCGGGGGGCGCCCGGAGGAGGGGCCGGGCCTGGTGGGGGGGCTTCCGGGGAGAGGCCGGGTCAGGTCGGGGGGCGTCCTGGGAGGGGTCAGGTCGGGGGGCGTCCGGGGAGGGGCCGGGTCGGGGGGCGTCCGGGGGAGGGCAGGCCCGGGCGGGGGGCTCCGGAAGAGGCCGGAGGGAGGCCCGGGCGCGCGCAGGGGCTCCCTCACCGTGGTCCTGGTTGAAACCGGCATAGAGCAGCCCGTTGCCATGGGGGTTACACGGCAGGAGGTTCATGGTGCCGACGCGAAGAGTCCGCTGCTCCTCAGCGCCGCATGCCCTCGGGGAGGCCGGACACTGAGGTCCAGTCTGTCCGGCCGAGGCCACCGCGCCGGAAGCGAGAGGCGACGTGCGTGCGCGCGCAGCCAGGGAGCCGCGGAGCGCCGAGCGCATCCACCTGGACCCGGCCGGGAGCGCCGAGAACGTCACGTGCGCGGGGGCGGGGCCTGTGCGGAGGGAGGCGGGCTTGGAGTAGAGGGGAGGGGAAAGACGGCAGGGGGCGGGGCGGGTCTGGGGCGGAGAAGCACCAACCGGATCCGAAGAGACTGGAGGGCAAGCCACCGGACACCGGACGGGGTGCAATTCAGAGGCAACCGCGCCCCACCCCCGCCCCTCGCGGGCGGGCAGGGCCCATCGCCCCATATATAACTAGAGCCCCCCCAGGAATCATGGAAATGAGAGAGACTTTTTCTTATTTTTAATTGATTGAAGAGATGAGTATTTAAAATAGTAACAAGGCATCGTAGGGTTTTTTAAGTAAAATGTACACAAAAACAGAAAAATGGTTGGAAGTGAGGAAGTGGAAGTATGTAGAAGTGTAGACCCCCCCCATACAAACCCCCACAGGACACAGGGCCCCCCCCCCCAGGACACACAGCCCTCCCTCCCCGGACACACAGACCCCACAGGACACACAGTCCACCTCCCAGGACACACAGACCGCCCTCTTGGGACACAGACACACAAGCCCCCCTGGACACACAGCCCCCCTCCCAGGACACAGCCCTCCCTCCTGGGACACACAGCCCCCATCCTGGGACACAGGACACACAAGCCCCCCCCCGGACACACAGCCCCCCTCCCAGGACACACAGCCTCCCGGGACCCACAGACCATTCCCTCGAGGGACAAAGTCTGGACTTTTGGGCCCAGAGCAGCTGGACTGTGGTCCTACTCCAACATGAGGGGCCACAGAGACCAGAGTGGTGGCCCTATGAGCCTCTACTTAGTCCTCTGGTCTCTCCCTTACAGTCCCCTGTCCTATTTTCCCCTTGCACCTGGATACCCACAGTCCAGGCAGCATCCCTTCCTGCCCCTCCTACTGTCCTCCCCTCTGCACCCTTGGTCTGCTGACTCACCCTACAAGGTGACGACCTTTCTGCCCTGGGGCCCTGAGGTCTGAATTTCCCCAAGCACCCCGTGCTGGCAGAGTCGAGTAACTCAATTCCCGTATGTGGGGGGACTCTCGGGCTGAGGGCCTGTGGTTTGGGATGGGGGCCAGGACTATCACAGACTCACAGACCTGGGACTCTTCGCCGCAGTCCACGGACTTGGAAAGAACCCTACTGATGGAGAGCCTTGCCCCAGCTGCACACAGGCTTCTATGGTCACCAAAGCAGGCACTTGGGGGAATGAGAGTCTGAGCCCTTCCTTTGGTCCGGGGCCTCCTGAGGTCCTATCTCACCGCAGGTCCTTCTGTGACAGTAGCCAGCTGGGCGTGCTGGTGAGGGGGCCCCTTGCCATAGCCACTCTATCTTAACCCAAGAAGCTCAAAGCTGTGCCCCCTGGAATGGGTTGACTGGTGACCCCCAGAGACATGCCTGCCCAGAACCCGTAACCCTACTTAGAGAAGCTTTGCAGATGTGAGGAAGGGTCCCAAGATGAGATCACCCCGGATTGAGGGTGGGCCTTAAACCCGTGGCGAGTGTCATCCTTAGTGGAGAAGAAAAGGGAGAAGACGGGGAGATGGCCGCTTGATGGGAAGGCTGAAACTGGCGCCATGTGCTGGCAACTGCAGTCACCCTGAGGCGCTGAAAGAGGCCTGGGAGGCCCCCCAGGGCCCCCAGATGGTGAGGACTTGGGTGTTCCTTGTTGGAACTGTTTCTGGCAGCCCTAGGAAGCCAGCACAGCCCATTGGTAGCTAACCTGTCTTGGAGCAGATGATGGGAGAAGTGGCTCCTTGCTGCCTCCCTCTCCAGGTGGAAGGGGCACGTCCTCCCCCTTGGCACACAGACTGGAGTTTGAGCCAGGGACGGAGGCCATAGGCATTACGTGTGTTCCCTATTAAGGCCCAGCTTCCTATTTGTTTTGTTTTGTTTTTTTCCAGCTTCCTATTTGTAAGAGGAAAATCACATCCAGTGTGTTAACATAGGCCACAGAGAGAAATGCTTCGCAGAATCTCAGAATGCCCTGCTTGTCCCCGTGAGCCAAGGAGGGTCTCCACTGGGGACGGGCTGCTCCGCAAGGTGTCCGTGTCTATTATGGGTTATTAAAGGTTTTCAGACAAGGGTGGAAATACTGCCAGCCCAGGACCCAGATGAGCCTCTGCTCAGAGAGCCCTGGGCCCCCATGCCAGGGTAGAGAACTTCGCCAGGCACCTGTCAGCCTGCTTCCATGAAGCCGTCCCATTACCTGCCACTGACTGGTCTGCCCCTGCCTGGCTGACGTGTCCGCTGATCATCCTGTGCCGAAACTCTGCTCAGCCTCATTCAATGCCTCAGTCGGCCAAGGGCCTCCAGTAGCTCAGCACAATGAGGACAGTCCTTGAAGAGGCTGGGCCCCAGCAGAAGCAAGCCCCGAGAACGTGTGCTGGGAGTGAACCAGGTGCGCACCAGGTATCCCCCCCCCTCGACCCCCCCCCCCCCCCCCCGGCCAGGCACCAGCCCTCCTGGCTGGGACCTCCTCCACCTGCCGATTCGCAGCAGGAGGACTGCCTCCCCGTCCCCTAGCACTTGCTTTAATGGGGTGGTTTTCTAGCAAAGGGCAGCCACTCCACCTCTGACTCCGGCAGACAGATGTTATGGAGCCTGAAATGGATGCTTTTTTCCAGATTCAGTATTTGCCTATATGGTCCATCATCAAAGTTGTGAGTTCTCCGTCTGGAAGATAATTCTGCAAGGCAGTCATTTTCACAGGGCAGTTGAGGACATAATTGTACATAACACGTTTTGAATCTAGATGCTTAAAAAGAACATTACCAACATCTGGGGCATAATGTGGCATCCCTGTTTACACTTTGGGTGGGTTTTGCCCCCGGGGAGGGCCATGGAAGGGACAGACAACGTGTAAGGGCAGTTTTTCTAGGGTTCAGTTTCCATTTGATTGTGTTTTCAGTGTATTCACCCCTAAAATATGCATGTTTTGCTTCATAACGCATTCCATAGGGACGCCTGGGTGGCTCAGCGGCTCAGGTCATGATCGCAGAGTCCTGGGATGGGGTCCCGCATCAGGATCCCAGCTCAGCGGGGAGCCTGCTTCCCTCTCTCTGCCCCTACCTGTCACTCTGCCTGCTTGTGCTCACTCTCTCTCTCTGACAAATAAATAAAATCTTAAAAAAAATAATGCTTTCCATATTTCGGTTTATTTGTTCCTCTTTTCTAGGAATGCCACTAGATTTGCTAAAGCACTTTGTACTGTGAGGTATAACCTCTTGCTGAGGCGTGTCCTGGGGCCCCCATAACAAAGTGCCCCACACAGTGGAGATTTATCCCCTCATGGCTCTGGGGGTTCTGGGGCCCGGGTCTGAGGTCCACATCAGATGACACCCATCCTGGCCACCAGCTGTCCCTGCACCCATGGTCAGTGGGTCAACCCTTTTCTCTCCATCCACTGCCGGGTGGAGAGAAGGTGCTGTGGCCCCGGCAGGAACCCTCTTGGGCTGCAGGACAATCCCTTCAGGGTTTACCTGCTGTCCCCTAGCCCGCTCCCCTGTGCACATGGGTCCCCATCATGCTCAGGGGCTGGTAGAGCTCAAGCCTGGCCCTAGCCCTTCAGCAGCTGGGGGCACCAGTCTCATTTCTGCTCTCTGGCTCTGTGAATAGAGATGTTGCTTCCAATTCTCAAGCCCCTCCGATTTCTAAAAATCTGTAAAGGCTAACAGGAACTGAGGACTCGGCAATTTCTCATTTTAGTTACTTTTTAAAGATTCCTCCTTGTACCCACCAGCTGCTGCAGAGAGATGCAGAGCAGCTACAGCCAGAGAGGTGAGACCCTGTGCATGGCCGTCTATGAGCCACTCGTGAGTAGTGATAAGGACCTTGTGGGATTGTCCGTCGGTCCGGGGTGCCTACCAGATCTGTGAGCACCCCAGGGGGTATCAAGAGCCCTGTCTGCTGTTGTCCCCGACAGGCACACCTTACAGGGTCGCCCTTCACACTTCCTACTTCTGGCCACGGCCCTTCTTCCCAGGGAAGGAATCTGGACCAGCAGGTGCCATGTGACGGGCAATGAACCACGTGAAGTAAAGGACTACGTGAATACACAGAATCGGAAAGAGCCAGCCCACCGTCCTACCAAGAAACAAGTGTACATTTTATTGTCGGGAAACATTTTCTTAAGTAACAGTGTCCACTTCTTTCCTTACTGAAACGGCTCCGGGTGATAATTTCCTTGCCGGTCTGGGTCTGTTGTGACTATGTTGTGGCCATCGGACACAACGAGAGGTATCTTTGGCATTTTCTTCCCTTTGCTTCATAATTTGTGGAACATCTTGTACAAAAAATGTAGATTTACAGAAAAATATGCATATAAACACTTATTAATTCCCAAACATGGTAAATAACATAGCAAAACCTTGATCAGATCCGTGTTGGACCCGCCGGCACCGCCTCCGGGGACTCGCACTTTGCTGTGAAGAGGAGCTTTACAGAAAGGCCCCCTCGGCAGGTCGAGGACTGAGGTCTCTCCCGTTGCCTCCCAGAGTCCCCGGAGTCACACTCGTCACACGCGTGTGGCTGCTCCTGGAAAAGCTGTCGTGTTGAGGACAAGCTGTGCTGCCGTCCTCCAGAGCGGAGCAGACGGCCCGTCCCCGGGACAACATTTAAACACACGTTTAAAACGAGAGCTTCATGCACGTCCACAGGGAAACGTCGGTCGGGCTGTGTTTCTGCCGCACGGAGCGGCTCCGTCGCCGCGCGACCGGCAGGTGCTTCCCCAGGCCTGGGCCTGGGCCGGGCTCCCGCAGCCCTCCGTCCCATCCCGTCCGTCCGCCCCGCGTGGGGCCGCTCCGCGTCGGTGCCGGGCCGTCTTCAGGAGACCTTACAGCTGTTCCGGGGGCAGCGCTTGGGCGGGCTCTGGGGCGGCCGGGCGGCCTTCACTTTGCGGA